TAAATAAAATAATTGAGAGTTCTTTGGAAAATTTGGATCAAAAGAGCCATTGGGACGCTAAGGATTATATTGGGAATTTAGAAATTTATTTTCAGCAATATTCTGATTCTCACAATATTAAATGGCGTAATAATGAAAAAATAATTGAAGGTAATTTTTATTTAAATATTAGGGACTTTTTAGCTTATTAGCAAATTTATTAAATATCTATTATTTTTAGATTCAAATCTTAGCAAATTAGATTTAGCGAGGATCAAATTTCTTGAATTAATGTCTAGTATCCCACCACCAATATTGAATTATCTTACTGAAATAGAGCTATCTCAACTTTTGGATTATATTTTAGATATCAACATTTTTGATCCTTTATACTCATTAGATGAGACTGCTATCAGGCGTTACATGATGTTCTTGTCACTTGTATCCAAGAATATTATGAAGTTTGGTTCGGGAGCGCGTATTACAGATAATTGTTTTAAAAAATTACTGTATTTATGGCAAAACCGATCTACTTTCGAGTTGGACACGGTGATATTGCAATTTATTGAGATATATATGGCACCTGGCTTAATAGATAATGAGAATGTTAAATATTTTCAATTTACAGGAGCGTCAAATCATCTTTTATTGATCAAGAATATTGATTCAAGTGTTGTACGATTCATTCTTGATAATTTGAACGCTTTTAAAGCCAAGATATTATCTTGTCTTATTATCTGCAATTCTGAAATTAGGTTGGAATTTGTTAATTTGATCTTATTTAATCCACAATTATTAGAATCAGTTTCCTTAAAAGACTTTATAATTATTGTTTCGGCATTTATTGACATTGTATCATCAAAAACACATTTGCAAATCAATTGGTCACCAGTTGTGACTGAAAATGATAAGAATGCCTTCAAAGTGATATCCGACAAATGTGCACTTCGGTTTTTTCACAGTATAACGACATCTTATAAGGAAAAGTCACCATCAATCTATGCTAATGTTGTCTGTGCATTGATGAGTTTAAGTTCACCAGTAGACTTGATAAAAGTGTTGAAATTTTCTATTAAAAATGGATCTTTCAACTTAGTTAGTTTGGATTATTTGAGTATAATTGAATGTCACTTGACTGATAATATTAATGATTATGATGAACAGGAACTTAAAGTATTCATTTCTGGTTGTCTTCATCAAGCAACTTTATTTATGGAAAATGACATTTTCAAAGATTGTAGTGAAGAAGTGTTACAAATCATTTTTAACAAAATTGGTAACAATAAGAATTAATATAACATTTTCATTTAATTGTAATAAAATATTAAACATGATATTAATATATATTATATTATATATTATATATTTAGATGATTTGATAAAATTTGTTCCGAAGTCAACCAGTCTGGATGCAAACATTATTGGAGAGTTCATTTTTGTTCTTTTGGAAAAAAAAATTGAAGAGCCAACAATTTTGAAGTGTATAACATCACTAATTATTTCTGCATACAATAAAGAGGTAATTATATGAATTTTTCATATTATTACAAAATATAAAATGATGGTAATAATTTACTTATAATACCTATAGATAATATTTGGACCTTCTTTGGACAAAGTTGTTGAAGCTATCATCAATAATCCCCAATTTAAAGTATTATGCGATGTACCAGAGTTATCACAAAAGGCTGACAAATGGCAGACATTCCTAAATAGATTAGCAATAAATAATTTGTTGAACACGGTGTTTCGAATCCATCCTAAAACATGCTGTAAGCCTTCATATTTGAACATTCTTTTATCACACTATGGTGCTTCCACTTCACTTGCCGACCAATTGCTCCTCGATATATTCATCTTTTATGAAAAATCATCTAATACTTCGATTATATCCAATGCCATGATGTGGGGTCCCGAATCAGCCCGTCAGATTGACAGAAGAGGCTTGATGGGACAAAGGATTCTTGTTGAATCATTAGATTTAATTGATCCTATGATAATGATGCGAAGTTATACACATTTCCCAATTGATAAAGAATTGGAAGTATCTTTGAATCCAATTGAAATCATATCTTATTTGAAAAATGATATAACCAAAGATCCTGATAAATGGGAACAATATTTACCAGTATACGATCCATCATATTTCTTACCATTATTCGCAAATTTGTTATCGTATGGAAATTTATTGGATGTTAGAAAATTCATTGAAATCAACGCGTTGGGATTTATTGTCGTTTCATTATCATCTACTGTGGAAACTGTGAGGAGAGCAGGTTATTATCTGATGGATGAATTTTATGGTTTATTGGAGGTAAGCTTAATGCGTATGATTTAAAGCATTCCATATATACTAGTCATGCGATTTAATGGTTTATCTATTTTGTTATAGCATGCAACTTTTCGGGAGAAGAGTCAAATATTGTTGTTACTTAACTCATTGAAGAATTCAATCGTGGATCGTGATAATGAAAATAAGCCACTTCAACGAATTCCTACAATCATTTCAGTATTTATTGCTCATGCATTGAATATTTTCACGAATCCTGCTCATTTCATGTATCCAATAATTAATAAGTTTTTGTTACAAAGACCGATATTGGATTTAGAGGTAAGAGAACTTTTTGATAATTAAATTTACATCAATGTTGATTATTTATTCTTAACAAATATAGGATGTACCGATGTTTTATAATTTATTTCATGCGTCTTCCAAGAATTATCAAAAAGAAAGAGTGTGGATTTTGAGACTTTTGTCTGCCGGATTAAAAAATCATGAAGTAATTTCTTGATTTAATATATTCTAATTTAATTTCATTATAAATGTTTATAATTTTATTCATTTGATTGTTCATTAGGATTATAAAATCTTTAGAAGAAGATATGTATGGGATGTTATTTCTAGTTATTATAATTCACCTCTTGCTGATAATATTAGTCGTAAACTTATCATCGAGGTAATTATTTAGTAAATTTATATGTAAAAATAAGAATTAACTGTTATTATCACTTTGATCCACTAATAATGAAATATGTGTGTAGATACTGTTCCGATCAGCATCCATTCCACAAGCTATCACTGACATGGTCAAAAACCGAGGGCTTTTAACCTGGTTACATAATTTATGTTTTGCATTGCCACATTCTCCATCTGTGAATGAACCAGCATTTTTTGGAATACGAATACTACTTCGGGTATTACAAGGTTGTAAGAATTCGACGTTGCAATGGTCAAAAGGTGTTCTGATAGATCAAGCCATAATGATTGTTTCTAGCGTATTAAAATCCTTCGGTATATCTTTTATTCATACATATTTTTTTAACTACACAAGTCACTCTTGGTATAGTGAATTCTTGATATATTGTATAGCAAAGTTAAGCACAAAACCGAGCTTTATAAAATTTCCTCATTACAATGGATTTACTAATAGAATCCCCGACATAATGAATTTTTGGAAAATTTTTAGGATTACTTAACTATAAAGAGAGTGACTTGTAGTAAAATGCGCATCGAGAAATTAAGGATTTGTAGTATTGACATTTTATTTATTAGATTTAAATATAGTGAAAGAAGAAACGATACCATGGACACTTAATTACCTTAACGCGATTATTCAAGCTTTTCATTACCTTATGTTAATTTCACCAACTCCTAATCGGGTTTTCACACCGTATCATATATCGTATATTTTACCAATACTTGAAAAATGCGAAATACATCTTAAATCAAAACTAATTAACGATGAAACACCTAAATCACCTATAAACATAGTTCATAATTTATATCCTTCATTAACAGATAATTTAGAAGGACTGTACATGTTTGACACTAATTTAATTAGAGTTTATAAACAAATTATAAGAATGTTATTTGAAATGGTGATTAGTAGTGGTGAACATGATATAGAAGTAGTGAATAAGATTGTATATAGAGCATTGTCTATGGGTGTTTCAACTGAAGCGAAGATATGGACGATCGCATGTATGGCTGAGTGTAAACAATGATTGATATTTATGTTATAAAATTTTTTTAAAAAAAGAATTTAATAAATTTGAAAATTAATTTACGTAAATAACGTTCAATAAATCTATATCTTAATTCTCTGCATCTATGCAATTTTCTGTTGGACATCTTTATATCCATTCTCTTTAAACACAAAATGCAAGAATTCACTCTCACTATTCTTAATCTGCCTAACTCATTGTGTCTAGTTACATAAATTAAAAAAATTCTTTTTACGCCTATCAGGAACAGAATATAAATAGAGTTTTTTTTCTTTTCAGAATAGTTTACAATTCTTATATGAGTGCTGCCAAGGGAAAACCTGGAATTGTATTTGACTTCTAATGATCTGCAAATTTGACCAGAGTTACGGCTCGTCTATTACACAATTCCACAAATCCGCCGATATGTAATACTATATAATTAAAACTTTAATACCGGTACTATTAAAATAATTTGGATAGAAATTGGCAAGACGTTTACATAGCATTTTCGCATCATTTAATCGTATACTAACTAGGAAACGGAGCCTAGATATTTAAATAATTTTTTGGATTTTGACATAAATTCAATTTTGATTTTTTATTGTCTGTTCTTTTTGTGGTTTAAGATACTCTTTTTTATATCACTTAATTCATCAATTTTATGCACACCATTCGAATCTTACTTGAGTCAATGACGGCATGTGTTTGAACTCGAACTTGTCAAACTGAGGATATAGTTTGATAAATAAGTTTTAAAATTATCAATAGGCGAGGTTATGGTTATATGATCTTTTTAATGCTTAGATAAAATATGTCAAAGCAATTGCATAATAAAATGTGAAATCATATAAGTTAGCTCGCGACGTCAGAATCATCAATTCAAATTAGTTTGATTAAAGAATAATGACGTAGAAAATCAATGTAAAAAAACAATCAAATGAGATCGAGAACCTTTTTTTTTTGCTGTAATTGATCCAATTGATTTAGTAACAGTATTTTAGGTATTATCACTTATTGCCCGGAGCTAAGCGAAGGATACTGTTTTTACTACGGACTATGATAAATAATATCACCTGTTCACAGAGAGAAAGTCTCCGGACACTTACCAATTCATGTTATATGATTTATATTTGGTAGTTGCAAAAATCACGTGAATGGTACCTTCCCCAGTTGTGTCAATAGTGAAATAGCCATGTGGCTTCTGAATAACTCCAAAGGAAAGCGAAGAATTCAAGAAAAACAAGGTCTATGCAACGCCTCGAATAGGTAATTCAGGTTGCTTACAACATTATACTGTATACCAATTTTACGATCTGCATTTTTTACTGTAAAACGTCCGATTACAGTTGATTTGAAAATTAGTGGGACACTTGAAAAATTTGTTTCCCGAAACCTCTCGGACTCGTCTTATGAATCTAACTCTTCGAAACACGTCACTGACTTCGGAACTTCGATCTGAATATAGTGATGTGATTTCCGAAAAGTTAGAGACTGGAAGGTCACTAGACTTCCAAACAGTGTTTAAAATTAACATGCACAAGATGCACATGTGCATGTAAGTTTTTTTATGTGCATGAATTTTTAAAAAATTA